GAACAGATCGCCAACCTACAAAAAAAGGACACAACCACAGCCATACAGGATATGCTTATTGGATACCGTTCCACACCTCACCCCGCCATCCGCCACGGGAGTAACTCCATACGAGGCATTGATGAATCGAAAAGTACGAACGAAACTTGACCATTACCCAACGATAGAGCCTCAGCAAAAGCAACGCGAGGAACAAATCAACGAAAAAGACAAAGAGTACAAGGAAAAGATAAAGAAATACAGAGAAAATAAGAACACTAAAGAACATAACTACATCATCGGAGACTATGTCTTAGTGAAACAGACAAAGAAAAACAAGTGGACGACAGCATACGAACCAGCATTCTATATCATCTACAGAATAGAAGGATCTACTATTTCAGCCAGMAGAATCAAGGACGGAAGAGAGATACGCAGAGACTCCAGCCACTTTAAGCAAATCAATGAAGTTATCTCAAGTTCTGAAGACTCAATGGAAGCAGTGAAAGATGAAGACTGGAGGGAGAAAATACTCGGAGAAGCAGAGGAAGAAGCAGACGATACTCAAGCAGCATCAGGAGTAACTGAAAATGTTAACGCAAACCAAGATCAGGTGCAGAAACCACCGCAAATCCATTCACCAGCCAAGCAAGCTGAAGCAAGACCACAGAGGAACAGAAGAAGACCAACCTATCTAAAAGACTATGTGTAAACTTGGACTGTCCTCATGTGATGGAACATTGTTGAGTTATTATTATTATGAGAGTTGTGATACATATTGATTATAGAGATATAAGTATTATTATGTATACCAGGAAAAGACATTTAATGATTTTAAGAACTAATAGATATGAACATTGATTCTTTTAAAACAAGGGAGAAATGTAATATCCCGGATGATTAAGTAATTATCTATGTGCAATCATGCGTGTAATTTCATTACATGTGCTTTTGATATGTATTAAACCAGTGACTGTGTGAACCGATTCTAGTATCAAGTTATACTCAAACCACGGATTCAACACATTCTTACGGCTGACTGGGTTCGACTTGCTCGTACGTTTCGTTGTTCTTCGCTAAGGTGATTTTGGATGCGCTGTGGTTTGGTCAACCGTCTTATTGTTAGACTAGTAAGAATGAATATTACACAACAGAGGATTTTGTTACCGAAAACAATCTTTCACAATACTTAGGAGCACTCATAGCAAAACACAGTTTAAATT